GTTCTTAACCATCGCGCCACTCGGCCGGCCCCCCAAGTAATTTTTAAACCAATGAAATTTCCATGTGATGGTGAGTATCAATACTGAAAGTAGCTGGTTGAAGCAGAAGGGCATACACAGTTGTAAGAAAGATCATTGTTATGGCTATCATCTGAAAGAAATCTTTTGTATCACATTATAATTGAGGGATGATTTTTATGCTGATTGTTTTAGAGGAATTTCTGGCTAAAATTAGGGTCTTCTTTTTCTTTTCTAGGCCCTAAATTAATCTATTATTCTTAAAAAGGCATTGCATGAGAAATTCAGAATTCTAAGAGACAAATTATTAGTCAAAAGAATTTTACAAGAAAGTCTATTTTATTTTCTACTTAAGCTAATAATGCATAGTAATCAGATCCATTGATTTCTCAGTGCTTTGCTGGTGGGGTTTCTTTTTGTTTCAGCAGACTGATCACTGAAGATCCTCTCATCCTGAAAAGATATATACAAAGAGGTTCATTTGTAGTCATGGTCTGTGGACAAAGCCCAAGAGGTTCCTGCTTCTTAGCCAGGCAGGCCTGACCTCTCTATTGATAGCTGGGATGATTGTCAGTACTAGCATCTAATTGCAAGTTTTTCTTTCTCATTTGAAGTTCTAAGAGCTGGCTTCTCCTCTATACTCATCTATGCAAATAGTGTATCAAAACAAGTATGCATAATTTCTTAGGACAAAGGACAAGATCTAAAACTTTGCAAAACATTTTATGTTTTCATCCTCCATTCCCCTGTGATGTAAACTGTATTTTTTAGATTTGGGGTTGCCCAGGACTCAAGGTGCTGGATTCTAGAAACATTAGTGACAGTTTATCAAACTCATGTTTGTCCAAATGAGGAAGGGATTGCCACATGGTAAAAGGCCAAGATTTTCCAATCGTCCCTTGGCCCCTCTGATGAACAGATGACATGGCAGATAATTAGTTTTTTTTTTTTTCAGCTGAGCCATCCTGCTACCTGTTGGCAGCTCAGCGGCTGCTCAGCTCGGGCTGGACTCGAACCGCTGTTGCTCAGAGCTCAAACGCTTGAGCGAGCTCTTAACCAACTGAGCCACTCGGCCGGCCCGGCAGATAATTAGTTTTAAAGGATGACTCGACCAGGTTTTCAGTGCAGTTGAAAGTCTGGTAAAGGGCTTTCTCAATCTTGAGGAAAGAACAGATAGGAATAATAATGATGCAAATAACATTCACTCTTCTATTATTTTAACTTAGAAAGTATTTCACTGATGTCATCTCAAACTACCTTCACAACATCTTTTTGCAATAAGAAGATGGAGAAGCAAAGTGTTTTTGCTCATGATCATGTAGTGAATGTCAATGATTGGCAAAGTAGGATCCCACAGGGATTTCCTGGGCTAACCAGATATCGTTTGCTCCATCAATTTAAACTATTGAACTGTTTGCATCCATTCTTCAAATGTGCAAATATGTTCTTTCCAGGCAGAGATAAAGCATTTTGGCTGCTGCTGCAGTTGACATGTCCTCCTGGCTGTAGAGACACTGAGGCAGTGTTCCCTTATGAGCCAAGTAGTACTCTGGATAAGATCCTGTGTGGCCCCTCTCTCCCCCATCTTCTCCCTGTGGTTCAGGGTTTTGAGAGACAAGGGCCCGTGTCTTTACATTCTGTTCTACTGCGAAAGATGCCATGGGCTGACCTTCAATCAAAGTGATTATCTTGTTTTAAAAACCAAATTCAAAGCTAAATGTTTTTCTTGCAGGATCCTACAAAGAGTCACTGAAGACTCCCATCAAAACAAGTCTTGAAAGAAATAGCTCTACTCTCCATGTTTGCCAAGCACCTCATGCTCTGGACAGAGGCTGGAAGGAAGACGTTGCCTCAGAAGGCCAGGTAGGTAAGGAGAGAAAACTGAAGATCTCACATCTTGACAAGCTCAGACAACTGAGTCCCAAATGTGAGGAAAGACTGGTTTAGCTGCTCTTACAAATCAATAAGAAAGTGATGGGTTCCTGATAGAAAACATGAGTGAGTAAAGCACACGAATAGAGGCACTTCGTAAATAAATAAAATAGCTGACAAACACACAAGAAAGTGTTTAGTTAGTATCAACCAAAAAAGTGAAAATGAGATTAACCATCACAAAGGTAAAGGTTAAAAATATGATAAAATTATACGTACTATGGTATGCTTCCTATCAGCCAAAAGATCTCTTGTGTAATCATTTCCAGCTACTTGGTGACTTGGTCTGCCCTTTGGGGTCTCTCAGGAGAAGTTCAATTCTTCCTCTATAAGATGGTCTTTTATATATTTCCCTTAATTCTTTGTTGCTGTTGTTTTTTGTTTCTTCACTAAGTTAATTTAGTTCTTTCAAATATCTCATTTATTATGGTTTTTAAAATCTTAGGAGTCTGCCCTAAGTCCTTGGGGCACATCAACCATCAGTAGCATGTTTTCAAGTTTATCCAATCCAGTGAAGAGCCTCTAAAGGAATCAGTGTTTCATTTAAAAAGCTTTATACTAGAAACTCATAAATTCTCAATTTAAGCAAAATTACTCATTTAGTGTGTGCCTGCTGTGCTTGGCATATACGATCTTGCTGGAGGAAGTATAAAATATTGTGAATGTAAAATTTAATTATTTGAACTTATATGCAATTGAAAATAAATGTATTAGAGCAGGTCTTTTGCTGGATGCTTTATTGCTGGGTAAGGGTTTGGGGGTACAGATGGCAAGGGAGTCAGTTCTACTGAGGTAATTAAGGGTGCTGTTGACCTCATACCCTGGCCAGGTTATGAGCACCACTGTCCTTTCTACACTCTACTGCTGATGGAAGTTTCTATTGCCTTGACCTTGAGGACTTCCCTTTTTCTTCCCCTTGTGTTGTCTGGTAACTGGTGGCAGTTACCAGACACCAGAGTTGAGTGGCTGCCTGTCAGGTCAGAGTTGGTGGCTGCCTGTCAGGTCACAATGGCACCAGCAATTTACCATCAGTATAGCAATTGTTATCCAGCCAGAACATCATCCCAGTGTCACTAAAGAACCTGAGAAGGGGATAATGGAAAGTGTTTTACTACTTTTTATGTATAGAACGTTAGTTGTCATGACTAGTTGGGTTTCAAACAGCATCAAGAGTGGAGCAGATACAAAGTGAAATCTTTCACCTTGACAGTAAATATGTCTTTATGTGATCCCCAGAGATCACTGGAGGATGATTTCACAATGATGGCCTGCATAGCTGTGGAGATAGTCAGAATTCTCATATCCAGCCAGTTCTAGGCCAAGTTACTTATTAAAGTCATAAATAGACCTCACTTAGGGAAAAGCCCCCGTGAGTACATCAAACAGAAGTCCACTGTGTTTGGGTAATGCCTGTCAGTTTTGGGCTAATAATGGGATTTTGAAGAAGTGCATCTGTCAAGAGTTACTTTGAGCTATTACTGGCCAGTGGGCCATTTTAAGAATGTTATTTTATAACAGTGGTTCTCAACTGGAGGTGATTTTGCTCCTCAGGGGACATTTGACAATCTTTGTAAACATTTTTGATTATCACAACCCAGAGGGAGGGCTAGGGATGCTGCTAACTGTCCTATAATGCACAGAATAGCTCCACAATAATGAAATATCTGCCGCTAAATGCCAATAGTGCTAAGATTTGGAAACCCTGCTTTATTCTGAATTGTACTTTGAATACCTAAAAATTCATGGTTCATTGACTGGCAATGTCTATTATGTGACATAATATCCAGGAAGAAAACCAAAATATCAACATGATGCCTGTTGGAAAGACTTCTGTCTGAATTATGGTGATCCAGTGATTGTTATACACATAAGATTGAATATATTGTTGTGAAGGAGTAAAAAATAAATTTTCTCTGCTTTAACTATTCACCATTATGTTTGTAGAAAATTCCAATAAGTATTTTTGTTTACCCTTATTACTAATTTCCCTATCTGATTTTGATTAAAGTTGAATGTACAATAAGAATATCAAAAGTGCTCTTTAGGGCTGGCTGAGTGGTGCGATGGTTAAGAGCTGGCTTGGGACGCCAGAGGGCCCCGGTTCGGATCCCACATATGAGGGCCAGTGACACTGCCCTCTACAGCTAAGATGCTGAACAACAGCTTAACCTGGAGCTGGGCTGCTGTGAGTCGCCGGTAACGGTGTAGGCTGCAGCCTCTGTGGCAGTGGGTTGCCATGGGCTACCGTGTGTAGCCAGCAGCCAGCGTGAGCGGCCAGCAGCCGCAGTGAGCGGCCATCCAGAAGTCAGTGACTGATCTGCCTCACCTGGGAAGAGCGCAATGATGGTGCCAACTTGGGCCAGTGAAGCAACGTCCTCCACAACTAGACTGAAGAACAAAAGGACAGCAACTTGTCTGTTCCCCTTCCCCCAATTCCCCAGCGCTGTTCCTATCCCCCTAATTCCCCAATTAAAAAAATCTTTAAAAAAATGCTCTTTATATAGTAGCCCAAAGGGATTGCAGTCAGATTTTTGTGCTCATGGAAATTCAGACAAGTTACTTAAGATCTTTGACTTTGATGTTCCTATTTTTAATGGGTAAAGGTAATAATGGAAAAGGACCTTTAAGTGATTAGTTCAATCCCAACATTTTTACAGATGAGAAAAATTGAGGACCAGAGAAAAATTCAGTAATGGAGAATATCTCTGGGTTGAATGCTGACTTTGAACTTCCTAGTGAATTACCAGTTTTAACTCTATCATGAATCACTTCTGAGATGTACATGAATGTTTTTAAAGGACTCTTTTTGTGTTTGTTTTCAGGAATGCGTAAACCAGTTGTTTTCAACCCAGAAGGTGGCTCATCAGGGTAATGGGAAAATGCAGCTCTGTGAGCAATCCCAGTGTGTTTGGAAAGGTATTGGCCAAAGAGTTCCTGTTTGTCTTTCTTTCCTACTCGCCTCCCTCCCTGCTTCCTCCGTTTCTTCCTTATCTTAAACTATATCACTAATTACGTTATTAGACTAAATAATGTAATTGTAAACTTTAGATAATTCTTGTAATCCTCGGCCTTAACCATATCCACCTCCAAGTCCCATTTTCTAGAGGCAACCACCCTTAGCTGTTCCAGCTATTCCTCGGCATTTACGTCTGTTTTTCAAATAATATTTGTAAACTGCTATATCTTGCAATTTTAGATTTTTATCATGACTTTCTAGCATAGTACATAAGAACTTAGTTCTCTTCCTGATTAATTCACCTCCTTTGGTCTACTTATATCACACTATTAAAAACTAATATTAGTTGTCATTGTTAACATTGTATTACCATACAACTATTATTCACTGCCAAGCCAACTAGTGTACTATAGCTATGCCTCTTTTCTAGTTTAACTTTTTGTTTTTCCTGGAATTATAAGTTGCTTTGTATTTTCATTTACTAGATACCCATGCAACTATGATTGTTTCCCCTAAATGCTCCTATGTTTGTTCCCAGCTATCAATAACATTTTCCATGCACCCACCCACATCAGTTCCAGTTTTCCTTGGTCACCTCCTGCCCAGAGCCTGCGAATCTGTTGCACATTTATAATCCTGGGACTTCTCTTCTCCCATGTTAGATCCACCATTTCCTGGAAGTTAGGTTGTGATCTTTCTGAGTTTGCTGGTCTAAAAATGGCCTTATTTTAATCTTACACTCGATTCGTAGTTTGGCTGGCTATAAATTCTAGTTTTACTCAGAATTTTGAAGTTATTGCTTTAGTGTTTTCAAGTGTCCACTGTTGAGGAGTCATATACTATCATGACTTCCTATACTTTGTATGCCACCAGCTTTTTCTCTCTGGATGCTAGTAGGGAAATCTCTTATCATTAGTGTTCTAAAATTTAATAACATTAAAGCTTGATGTGGGTTTTTTTTTTAAATGCATTGTAAATGAAAAGCCCACTGGTACATTTTTAATCTTGGAGACCTATGTTCTTTAGTTCTTGGAAAGTTTCTTAAATTAGTTTTTACTAATTTCTTCACCTTTGTTTCTCTTTTTTTTTCTTACTGAAACAATTGTGTTGGTCTTTATGGACTGATTCTTAATTTCCTTATTTTTTCTATTCTGTTTTTTTTATCTCAAAAATTTTTTTTTAACCTTCTAGGTGGTTATCTCACTTTGACCACCAAGCTTGTTATTAAGTTTTTTTTATTTTGGCTATCCTAATTTTAATTTTTAAATTTCTTGTACTTTTTTTAAATTGTGAAATTGGGGGAGGAGAACAGTGTTGGGGAATTGGGGAGGGGGACCAGTCAAGTTGTTGTCCTTCAATCTTCATTGTAGAGGGCACCAGTCGCCATCTGGCTTCCCTTTGACAGCTCGTAGCCTCTAAGCTCAAGGTGCTGTGTTCAATATTAGTTGCGGGTGGGCGTAGCCACCATCCCATGTGGGAGTTGAACCAGCAGCCTTGTCGTTAATTTTTGAAAAGGATATAAGGTCTTTGTCTACATTAATTTTTTTTATGTGGATGTCCAGTTGTTTCAGTACCATTTGTTGAAAAGACCAAATTTTCTCCGTTGCTTTGCCTTTGCTCCTTTGTCAAAGATTGGTTGACTGTACTTATGGGTCTATTTCCAGGCTCTTTATTCTGTTCCATTGATCTATTTGTCTATTCTTTTGCCACTATCACACTGTCTTGATAGCTACAGTTTTTAGTAAGACTTAAAGTCAGATAGTGTTAGTCCTTCAATTTGGTTTTTCTCCTTCAATATTGTGTTGACTATTCTGGGACTTTCCCCCCTACATATAAACTTTAGAATCAGTTTATCACTATCCACAAAATTACTTACTGGGATTACATTGAATCTACAAATCAAGTTGGGAAAAACTGACATTTTAATAATATTGACTCTTCTTATTCATGCACATGGACTATCTCTCAATGTATTTAGATTTTCTTTGATTTCTTTGATTAGAGTTTCGTAGTTTTCCTCATACAGATATTGTACATGTTTTATTAGATTTATACCGAAGTATTTCATTTTGGGGGCTATTAATGAGAACTTTTACAATCTACTCTCTTACAAAGTTTCAAATATGCAATACAGTGTTATTAACTATAGTCACCATGCTGTATATTACAGCCTTATGACTTTTTAATTTTATAACTGAAAGTTTGTACTTGGTTTTTTGAGAAGCTTTACTCGCAGTTCTTGGTAACTTCTCGTAATCTTGCAGTTCTGCCCACAACTGCAGGTTTTCATAGCTAACACTGAAGTTGTGAAGAATAATCTGGCTTCTTGGTATAGCCTTGTGACGGTCTCATGCTTTTAGCAGAAGCCATGTGGTCATACAGACCACAGTAACCTGGGTGGGCTCAGTTCCTGTTGAACGTCATTCTCAGTTTGATCAGTTTGAGTGGTTGGAGAGATGAAAAGACAGTGGCCTGTGGTTTAGGTTTAGTGGGGGTCTTTGGATGAGAATTAAAACTGAGCACAAGATATGAGCCTGATCTCAGATAGTCATGGGGAAAACTAGCCAAAACTAACCCTATGTGCTCTGGTACAGAAACAATGAGAAAAAGGTCCAAAGTCAATGAATCAATAAATATTTATTAACAAAGACTCAGAATAGGGCTTAGGTCTACCAGGTAATTGTTGATGTGATAGACATATGGATATACAAAATTTTTTTTGGTTTTAAAATCTCAAGTGACAGAAGACATACAAGTATTCAAAGTATAATGTAGTGTCTCTGTGTGCGCCCCACAAGACCTGTCATTATATTTAGATCTGGCATGCATGTGCTTTTATTAGACAATGCCATTGAATATTTAAAAAAATTATTTAAATTAATTGTTTTTGTTTTTGTTTTTTCTTCCCTCCGCAATTTGTGATTCATTTTTATCATCATGGCCACTTTCTTTTTCACTTCATTGTTTCTTATTACCTTCAAGGATAAATATTGTTTCCAGGATCATAGAGATGTATAGAACTGTTTGCTTCTTGTAGGCTGCAGAGATGGAGTCAGTTATGAATCCTTCCATGTTAAAAGGTTCAGTGATATAAACTATTCTATACTCCAACCAGAGCTGAAGATTCATCTTACTGGTCTTCGAAATGACTACTGTAAGTTATTGTTTATATCATGAATTGAAAAGTTGAAATGACAAAATATATCCTGTGCTTTGGCATAAACTTGAAATTTGATTCTGGAAGAACCAGATGGGCCTTTGCCTCATGCCCAAATGGTGTAACATCCAAATATGGTTAATATAGTTGGCTTTTCCTTGTGCAGTTCTCATGTTCAGGAATGGGTATCATTGGTGTTGGTATGGCACAAAAAGTATACATTTTGTTTCACTGTATTAGAATGAACTGTACAAATGGAGGCCTATTCTTTTTTTTTTAAGATTTTATTGGGGAATTGGGAAAGGGGGACAGTGTTGGGGAATTGGAGAAGAGAAACAGCCAAGTTTTTGTCCTTCAATCTTAGTTGTGGAGGGCGCAGCTCGCTCAGCTCCAAGTCCAGTCACCATCCAGCTGCCTGTCGGCAGCTCGTGGCTGCTCAGCTCAAGTTGCCTTGGTTTAACCTTAGTTACGGGTGGGCATAGCCCATCATCCCATGCGAGAGTCGAACTGGCACCCTTGTTGTTAGTAGCACGTGCTCTCTCCAGCTGAGCCATCCAGCCGCCTGTTGGAAGCTCAGTGGCAGCTCAGCTCAGGTGCAGCTCACGGGCCCATGTGGGAATTGAACTGGGGACCCTGTTGCTCAGAGCTCGCGCTCTTAACTAACTGAGCCACTTGGCTGGCCCTGTAGTGCTATTCTTATGCATATATTTTAAACATGAATAAATCCAATCTGTCAAACAACCCTGTTGGGTTTTGTTATGTGTCTAGCTTGTGATCTAGTTGGGAAGCCAGAACTAATCCACATCGAACTGCTACTAACATGCCAATGTAGAATATAAATAATCAGTTGAGGGGTATAAGGAGCTTTAAGGACTATAGGTAATTCAGTCATCTTTGGAGTTTTTCATTTTTGAACTTCTAATGATCTGCTTGGATCTATGATTCTGTTTTCCAGCTGACCTCTACCTGTAAATAATGTTGTTTATTTGAAAATATTTTTACTTGGCTATATAGTCACTCTAATTTGAACTTCATTTCTTATAGATCTGAATATCCTAGACTGGAATGCTCAAAATCTTGTTGCTATAGCCCTTGGATCTTCTATATACCTCTGGAATGGGAAAAACCACAATGGGATTGAAAATATAGACTTAAGTCTCACTTGTAACTATATATCTTCTGTGCGCTGGATAAAAGAGGGAAACTGCCTGGCAGTTGGCACCAGCGAAGGAGAAGTACAAGTACTGAACAGCTTTTTCTTTCTCATGATGTGCTCTGCATAATTGTTAGATAACTAAACTTGACTTTTAGTAACTGTTTGAAACAAAATAAAGAAACTACATTGGTTGTGGTACTTGGAAGCTATGGGGAGTAAGAGGATATATGCTATTCTGGTTCTTTTCTGAATGACATTTAATGAGGACTTAGGGTTACTCTGCTTAGTTTTTCTACACAATCTTTCTGTCATTTTTTTCCCTTTTTCCCCCATTTTTTTAGTCTTTTCTCTGAAACTAAATTTGGGCTTGTAGAATCCCCTGTTTTAGGACTTTGAAGAGGAGAAGACAACCTCCTATTCACCTTTCTCACCTCAAATCATGGTCGGTAGTAGAGTTATTTAAAATGACTGAATTTTTTTCTGATAGGCTCTCTGAATTGGGGATTTACCAAGTTTCCATCAATCTATTTAATTTTTCATGCACATCATTACTATTGTTTATTAGCAATAATAGGAACAATATTGCTCACATTTTGATGTGTTTGGAGAGCCACAGATGGCTCTCATTGCTTTCTCATCTCTGCAATGATACTGGATGCTATGAAGGCTATGCCAAAATTCTCATTCTTCATATGGGTCAGAATATCATTTGTAGCTGGCAGGAAAGAAGTTTCTTAGCAGTAAAGGAAATTTCTGTCTCTAGAAAGTGTCTAGGCACCCAAATTTTATTTGTTGGTAACTGTAGGTGCATTTCCAGGTTTGGAATTTCCACAAATTAGAAGGAACTAATCATGTGATAGTGATTCTCCACCCTTGGTTGCTCACTGAATTCACCTGGTGAACTTTAAAATAAATGCTATATGCCCAGGCTCTACTCCCACCATTCAGTCACAATTGCCAGCATCCATAGCACTCTCCCTAGATGATCCTAATATGCAGACCACATTGAGAACTGCTGATTAGGGTTAGAGGTGTTGAGCTTTCATTTAGTGCAAGGACTGGCTAAATCAACATATCAACATAGAGTATCAGGCATCTGAGAAGACAAAGACAGTGGGTTGTGAAAATGTCAATGCTCTATACCTTTGCTTGTTCATTTTTTTCAGTTATGGGATGTGGTAACTAAAAAGCTGCTGAGAAATATGCTTGGTCACTTGTCAGTAGTTGGGGCTCTGAGCTGGAACCACTGTATACTCAGTAGGTAAGAAGCATTTTATTAAAACCAATTATATTTCTATCACCAATTGATTATGGAAACTGAGTGAATAGAACTATAAAATTTAAAACCAAAACCAAAGCTAAAGTAAAACAGAACAGGACATTAGTTAGTATCAGATATGATCCTACCCGCTCAGGTATTTAAATCTTCTGGTGATGTAAGTGGTCCAGTGGCCACACTTACCATGGTGGCTATGTGGGCTATGTGCATACAGCATGTGCTAGTGCTGGAATGTGAGGTTCAGGCTTCACTAAATTGTTCAGATAAAATGTATAACTCTGTTTAAGCAAAAAGATTCTCTGTACTATTGGGTTGTCAGAAAAGTCATGCTGTATTTTGTCATGTTTTTCAAAGGTCATTTATTTATATAAAGAACAAAGATCAATCAATGATATATTTCCTGTTTTGTTTGATAGCCTTTTGCCATCTTTCAGTGAGTTTCATAATTCCTCGTTCATAGAAGGACCTGTCTTTATTTGTGAAAAACTGAACAAGGTGCTGATTTACAGCCTCATCTGAACTGAACATTATACCACACAAGAGTTTTGAAGTGAGTGAAACAAGTGGAAGTCTGACGGCACAAGGTCAGGCGAGTATGGTGGGTGTGGCAACACATCCCATCCAAGCTCCAATAATTTTTGACAGGTGATCAAACTTGTGTGTGGTCTCGCGTTGTCGTGATGGAACACAACTCCTTTACAATTAAAAAGCTCTGGACGTTTCTGGATGATGGATTCGTTCAAACTGTCCAGTTGCCGACAGAACACATTCAAATTGTTTGGTTCCATCTTTAAAATCTCATAACCTTCCTCTGATGAATGTCTGCTTTCGATGTCGTTTGAGGAGAGTCTTCACGTCGGGACCAAGACAGTTTGCGCACCACATTGTTGTAAACAGTCCACTTCTCATCACCAGTTATCAGTCACTTCAAAAAAGAATCGTTTTCCTCACGTTTAATGAGCATATTGCAGATGTTTATACGTGCCATCAAATGAATTTCTTTGAGTTCATGTGGAAACTAAATATTCAGCTTGCTTATGTATCCCAGCTTCTTCAGGTGGTCGTGAATGCTTGAATGATGGATGTTCAATGTTTCTGCAATGTCCCGTGTTGTGTAACGTGGGATTAACTTGACCAATGCCTTTATTTTGTCGTCATCAACCTCGGTGGGCCTCCCTGACCGAGGAGCATCGTTGAGATCAAAATCACCAGCACAGAATTTCGTGAACCATCGTTGGCACTGACATTCTTGTAGAGCATTGTCACTGTAAACTTTATGCAACTTTTCACAAGCTTGCACGTTCTTCCCTTTATGGAAGTAAAAAAGTAAAATATGGCAAAAATGCAGTTTGGTCTTCCATCTTCCACTTGTTGTAAAATCTCCAAAACTCAACCAAATCGCTCAATTTTTTTTTAGAATGAAGCTAGAACTGTCAGCTGTCAAATGACATAGCAATAATGTAGATGCAAATGACTCTAAGTACTTCCAAAAATGAACTAATGCCATCTATCGCAAACATGCGCCATGACTTTTCTGACAACCCAATAAATAGTACCTACTAGAGGGATGTTTTGTTGAAGTAAAGACTTTATTGCTATTGGTATCAATAATTTGGAATATGTTAAGCTTTCTGGGGCACAGACTCTCAGATGTTAGAGGTAGAAGGAACCTCATAGATTAGCCAGGTCAGTGGTCCTCAAACTTGAGCATGAATCAGAATAACCTGAAGGGCTCCTTAAAACACAGATTGCTGCCCTCACTCCAGGAATTTCTGATTCAGTAGGCCTGAAGGTGTGCTGATAATTTGCCTTTCTAATTTCCCAAATGATGCTGATGCGACATCATTTTTGAGAACTACTGAGTTAGTCTAACTGCTTCTTTTTTACCAGAAAAGTTAGGTGGCTTTTTCCTGTGATCCTACATAATTGGTCTAAATATATATTGCTTTTAATAATAGCCATTCATCTTCATATTGTATTTCTTAAGGTAGATTTAAATTAAATAAATTCCAAAGCCATTTACAACATCTTTAAGTAGCTCAGATATAAATTTGAAATATTAGTACTTTGTGATTATAGGCTAAACTTAAAACCACTTAAGCAAAATGCCCTATAAAGGCCTAAATATTTACCCTGAGAAGTTGTTGCAATCAGGTCAATTCTATCTTGTAATCCTTTTACAATCTGCATTGTTTAAGTTTGGTTTCATTATCCATGAGAAATATAAACAGATCTTTTCTTATAATAATAGCAGTTAACATTTCAGTGCCAGGCACAGTGCTATATTCTTTATGTCTGTAACCATGTTCTAATCCTTGCAGTAACACTGTAAAGTGGCTTCTTATCCCCTTCCTCTTTTTCTCTGATGAGTAAACTGAGATACTAGCCTGAGGTCACATGGCTAGTATAAAGGGAAGAATTGGGCTTTGAACCGAGGTGGTCTGGCTGCAGAATCCATATTGTTCATCAGAATGCTATTCAATGTTGTGCCTGAGTAGTTTTTAAAAATATGATTCTGAACTTTGAGAAATTTCAGAAAAAATTAATTCCAAGTAAGGAGTTACTTGCTCCTTGGAGGAAAATAAAATTAGCCCAGAAAGAGTTTATTATTTTTGTTAGTGATAGGATCTTTATCATTGTTTGGATCTAAATCACTGAAAGTGAGTAGAGACATTATCCACTGATTTTTTTTTTTTAAGATTTTTATTGGGGAATTGGGGGGATGGGAACAGCTCTGGAGAATTGGGGGAAGGGGAACAGACAAGTTGCTGTCGTTTTTTGTTCTTCAGTCTAGTTGTGGAGGACGTTGCTTCACTGGCCCAAGTTGGCACCATCATTGCGCTCTTCCCGGGCGAGGCAGATCAGTCGCTAGCTTCTGGACGGCTGCTCACTGCGGCTGCTGGCCTCTCACGCTGGCTGCTGGCTACATACGGTACCATGGCAACCCACTGCCACAGGGGCTGCAGCCTACGCCCCCGGCAACTCACGGGCAGCCCAGCTCCAGGTGGAGCTGTTGTTCACCATCTTAGCTGTAGAGGGCAGTGTCACTGGCCCTCATATGTGGGATCCGAACCGGGGCCCTCTGGCGTCCCAAGCCAGTTCTTAACCATCGTGCCACTCGGCCGGCCCTATCCACTGATTTTTAATCGTATTGCAGTTGGCTTTGACGTTCAGAGAGTTTTATACTCTTTTTAGATATTAGTAGCATTAGCAAAACTAATAGTGAATCTATAAATTAATAGAAAAATGAAATAAATTTCTGTTTAACATTTTACTATAGAATATATATATCTCTATATATACTATTTTATTATACTATATATAAATATAATGTATTAATATATACTAAAGCCATTTCATTGAGATAATGTGAAATATTTTGAATTCCAGAAAAGTAATATTTCTCAGGTCCAGTACATAAACCTGGGAAAATCTGGTAACTTTGTAAGTCTGTTTTCCATGGTTGACTGCATCATATTCAAGCCATTAGAGAAATCTATCAAAGGACATCTTCTTGGTATTCAGATTTGAAACTTTGCCAGACAAATCTATTTCATTGGTGAAAGAATCACTCTGATAGAATACTCCATCTTTATTAACCCAAGGCATGTCTATTTGGTTTTGAATCTCTCCTAAGAGTTCTTTTAATAGTTCAAACAATGCTTTTCTTCATGTTTTCAAATGCTTATGTAGCAACTGGGCTCAAGTTTTCTGTCATAATTCTGTCCTTTTGTAGTGGGTCAAGACTGGGCCATGTTTATCATCATGACGTTCGGGTAGCCCGGCAGCATGTTGGAACACTTCACCACAAGCAAGCTGTATGTGCTCTGAAGTGGTCACCGGATGGCAGGCTGCTTTCCAGTGGCTGTAGTGATGGACTGCTGACTCTATGGCCCCATGATCCAGGTGTGCATGCACACGGTCAACCAGTAAAAGTCATACCCCAACCTACAGCAGTCAAGGTAAGAAAGCTGGTAGTTTTCTAGGTGTCCCTTATCTCAGAGACCACTGGGTGTCCTTCACACATGAAAACAAAGCCATTAAACCAATACTTTGAGATTTTCTTCCTCTAGAATTTGTTTTGGATTTTGTCATCCCTCTCCTGAAAGAAAACTCTATTTATACCCCACATGTGTTATATTTTTTGGTTGTAAGTAACAGAAACCAAAGTCAAATTGAAATATAAGCAAAATGTAAATGTAGTTTCTTATGTAACTGAGGTGTCCTGAGTACATATAGCTGTTTCAAATATTGGCTGGGTGTAGGGCCTTAAATAGTGTCATTAGAGTCCTGTCTCTTTGGCTCTTGGCTCTGTTTGTCTCTGTTTAGTTTCATTCATCATTCGGACTCCATTTTGTGGAAAGATGGCTCTTGGCCACTTCAGATTCAGATTTTCTCAGATGGAAGTTGGAGAAGAAACCATTGTTCCTTGTAACTCTGGTAGAAAAGTACCAGGCAGGATTCTGGTCTGGCTTTGGTCACATGCTCATCTCTCAATTGATCATTGCAGCCAGAGAGATGGGCATACTGGCTGCCGAGGAGACCTGTTGCTAGAAGAAGGAGGAAGGGTGCTATAGAGTAAATCAATACTCCGCCATGCTCTGCATAATAATTTCTTATTTCTCTGTATTTAAAATTCTCATTTCCTTTGGTGTCATAGATGTTCTCTCATAGTCCAGATTCAAAGAGAGCAAAATGAGATTCTACCTATTGATACAGGGAAGTGGGCAAAGCTCTAGAAGGGCACGTGGGATTGGAGATTTAAATTTCAACTCCAAGTACCTTTAACTCAGGATGAAATTAGTGTACTCATTTGATGTGGGTGTTGTAAAAAGTTACAACTATATGGAAAACTTCTGAAGCTTGCAATTTACCTAAAAAATAATTTGTCAGAAACAAATGACATATGCCAGAATATATTTATTATATAGTATTCTTTATAAAAGCAAACAACAACAACAAAACACGAAAAACAACAAAAAATCTACTCCTCTCCAAAAAACTCAACCTAACCCAATGCAAAACAAATAAAATTAAGAAAAACCAAACTGAGTCCAGCATTAGAACAAAAATTTATTAGGGTACAATAACATGATGGAATATTATGGGATTATTAAAAATTATAATTATGAAAAATATGTTAAACATGGAAAACTTTTATATAAGTGAAAAAAACAGAAAAACTAGTACACACATTATGTTTGATACTTTATAAAATAATTTTACATATAGAAGATAACATGCAAAAATAAGAATAGTAACCAGGATGATTGATAAGGATATATAACTATAATTAAAATATTTGTTAAAATGTTATTTAAAATCATTGTTACTAGTCATTTCAATTATCAATATAAATGTGCCATACTAAATCTTATTTTTCAGAATTAACTATAATAATTTATAAATAATTAAAAAAGGGCAATTTTATTTTCTGATATATATTAGGAATTATAACACATGAAATCTTTTCAGTTGTGAGCAATCGCGCATAGCTCTCTTTTGTCTTCTATTCTCTTCTCTGACCTAGAACCTAAAGACATAAGTAGACAAACCAGAGAAAGGCTGCATTTCATAACCAGATTCTAGGGCACACGTGACCCACTTCAGCAGCAGATTTTTGCCCCATAAAATGTGTTAATGTAGTTTTCCAAACATACTATTGTGTGATTTTTCTATGTTGAAAATGTTTACAATTGTTATCAAAATTTGAGGATGACACCTCATAGGTGATTTCTAGTTTCCGAGAAGTAATCTCTGGAGAATGCAGTTGTTCCTGGCTTCGGATCAGAGGTCCAGGACAGCGCCATGGGTGCAGACCTCTGGAATTTCTGCTTATCTGAGTGCATCACATTCACAAGTTCACCTTCTCCAAGGCTGACCTGTCTCTGATTATTTGTAACTTTAAAGGCCATGGATTGGTGTCCCTGGCAGTCTGGCATCCTTGCTGTTGGAGGAGGAATGCAGGATGGACACTTACACATCTTGGACATAAATAGTGGGCAGAGCATCCAGACCCCAAGCACAAACTCACAGGTAAATGTCTCCTCTGGAAGTCACCTTCACTCTGATCTTCTAGCATCTTGTGAAAATAATTTATGATAAAGCACTGGACACAGACACACCTCTCTATACCTGCTGAATCCATAGGGATTTCAGTTGCTGAGAGTTTCTTTTTGTAAAACCTTCTTCTGCAACTTGAAAGTTAATTTAACATGTGCAGGTTTTTTTTGTTTTTTGTTTTTTTTTTTGCATGTTCCTTCTTTCTCAGAATTGCTTTGGTGGTGAAACTTGATAGCAACCTATTCCTGGACCATAATCATAGTCCACTTAAATTCATAGATTCATTGCACCTAAGCCTATTTCTATATTTAGCCCATTGTTGCCTTGGGATAAACTTCCCTAGAACTAATGTAATCCTCTAACACCCTAACCCCAGCTATGGACTGAAGGATGTATGTGAACAGAGTACTCTGCTTAGAATCAGTTTAAAGTATATTCATAATAAATCAGAAACTGCCATAATTCTGTATTGTTTTGGTCATGAGTACAGATTTGTTCCCTAACCTGGCTACCTAAAACAAAGGAGATTGCAACTGGCCAGGGTACTCCTAAGAATGATGTGGCCGTGTGGGATTGTCCTGCTCTGACCAAGTCAGGTGGATTTTTTGGTAAGGAAATGGGTGAGTAAAATACCATGTACCTATAGCAAAGTGAGCTGTCATTGGTGGGAAAAACCTAGAGTGAAAGATGTTCTCTATTTGGTTCTTTGAAGTATGTATTTTTATCCGAGGAAAGAGGCCTACATCCACGACACCTCAGGGAGTGTGTAGATGAGTGCTTCTAAATTGGACTAGGATTATTTATCACTTATAATTGTCATGTCTTCTCTTTCTGGCATATGTGTATGGATGATGCAGTGATGATCATGGACAGTGTTTTGTTTAAATTAGTTTCAGGTGTACAAAACAATGTAATAGACTTTTATACCCCTCACAAAGTGATAACCCCTCCCCCAATCTACTACCCCTCTGACATTGTATAAAGCTGTTACAATTCCATTGACTCTATTCCTTGTGCTTATATTCCATGATTATATATATTTGAATCATAGTTGACATTCAATATTATTCAGCTTCAGCTTCAGGCGTACAGCACATAGACAGTTTCGAACTGTGTTTTTTAAATCTGTAGTTAGCATCATAACTTATCTTACCTTATTTTGAAGAAGAACCAGCAGTGCTGGAATGCATGGGAGATGAAGAAATGGGAAAGGCTGAGACTTTGTTCTACATCATGGGGAGGCCGCTAAAGAGCATGAGGTCTGGTGAGCCTCTGCCCTTTCAAGGCAAACTGCTGTTATTTCTCAGCGTACTTCTACAAACTTCTATTGGCTATTTCTTGAGAGCAAGACCCTATAATGCGAAATAAGACATAAGTCTTGTCCTCAAGTTTCTTAAATCCTCTTAGGTGTAATCTGGAGTGTTAAAGGGGGCTTAGGGGTGAGTCAATATCTTCTTCTACCCAGTCCTGGAAAACGGGAGACAGAAGTGGTGGTTGATGAAGGAACAGAGCACGGGCATCGAATCCCTTGTAGAAGTCTGATGACGTATCCTATCTTCTTCTCACCACTCAGCCTTGTCTCCTGGTCAAGCCCTGGAATTTGTTTATTAAGCTTCTACTATGTGCCAGGCATTTTTTGGGATGCTGGGGCTACACAGATGCATACGACAGACAGTATTCTTTCCCTCATGGAGCCTCCACTTTTGTGGGAGGAGACAGACGAGAACCAAATATATCCAATGTTAGGTAGTGATGATACCGTGACTCTCTTTGGAGATTCTGAGAATTTTATTTGGCAACAACACAACCCCCTCAACAGAAAGACTTCCTGCTTCTGCTGGTCATCCTGGCTGGACCTCTGGTAAGCCCCAGAATGACCTTTACATCCTTCAGCTGTTATACTGTGTGATTTGGTAAATAAAAAATACAGACAATTCTTGGCAGAGCCACATCAGTGGGCAGGCATACGTATAGGAGGAGCATGAACTGATCCATTGTATATTTTAGTTATAAGTAATGTAATTCACTGGACATTTTAATTTAGAGAAATATTTTAAACCAAGCCTTAAAACCTAATCCTTTACAAAATTACAATTCCAGCAGTTAGGTAGGTCCTTTAGTTAGGTGGGGGCATCTGATAGACACTTGAATCAATTTGCTGATGCTTGAAATAAAGAATGAACTTATCAGGTATGTTTCCTTGTTTCTCTGGTTTTAACAAGCTGTACGTTCTTTAGTTTTAATGCCTTATAAATTATTTTTTCATTGATATTAGACATAATTCCAAAGAGAACATTTAACCTTTTCTCCTTTTCTTAAAATGTTTATGGTTAGAGAAGATGTAGTTACTTTTGAATATTTAGACACTAATTTTCATATCTAACACAGTTTCTTCCATATGCAATATTTCCCAAAAGTGTTTAGCAGGATGGTTTTTATATGAACACTCATCATGTGGTAAGATAAATTTGGAAATTCTGTGTTACACAGAACAGTTTTTCTTTCCTAAGAACAAAACCTTTGCCATATTATGTGTACTGTGAATCTCCAAGAGGAGTTTATAGAATTCAGTGTTTCCCAAATACCTTTGGGAAATCTTTCGTATAGGATCATCTTCAGGTACTTGTTCCATGAACACACTTCAGGAAGCACTGCCATATGGCATGGGGCTACTAAAATATTTAACTTTCATATGTTTTCACTGTGAGTCACTGTTTCCATTGTGGGTCAAGGCTGTCTCGACATACACCCCTGTGACTGAGGTCTGAGTCTTTCAGTCTGGGGGGCTCTGACCCATTGGATCATGGATGGAATGAGTCAAGATCAGCATTAAAAAAATGAGATAGAATTGTATAGAATGGAAAAAATGACAAAGTAGGTATTATTTTATGAAACTTTTGTTATAGTTATCAGTACATATACGTGCCTATTCAAGGGGCCACTGCATAAAATGTAGTTTTGACATAGGTTGTGGTCAAAAAGTTTGGAAAAAAGATATCGTAAATTATGGTCCCAACTTTACTAAGCATCACCCTGTTAACCACAGTCATGATTCTCTGGAGGAAAATTTCAGTTCAGTGGTCTCACCCACCTGGCTATAGAATAAAGATAACTTATGATTGTCCCCACCTCCCCACCCCAAATTGTAATAAGAATTGTAATTTCTAAACTTTGAAACAGAAGTAGTTAATTTGCCAACCTGTAAGTAAGATCTGGCCTGTGACTTGGTTTTATCAGTCCACAGCGCATGCCTAAATATGTGGTCTCATTTATGATTGTAGCCACACAAAGAAAACAAAACTTTTAATGCTTTCAATGACAGTTTTAGAGCTTGGAACTTGGTGATGTGAATCCTGAAAAAGGACCTTTGTCTGAGATGACATTTTCCACTACCTAGTAAGTTAAGATTGTCACTGATATGAGAAAAGAATTTCAAGATTGTCTTTCTTTCCAATCCAAATGCCATTTTCCTAACAAGTTCTGAAAGTAGCTATCTATCCATTTTTTAAGTCAAGGTAATTTTCAAAGCCTGCTTTGGAAAAGACTTGGGATTTTTTTTTCTCTGTTATTTCTTTTCTCATTTTCTTTTCTTCCTTCCTCTTCATCTTAACACATTGTAATAAAGAATGAAAGCATATTTATCACCTATTATACTAATTGAATACTTTTCTTTCTCAGATTTCGTTTAGAAGCATTAAATGTCTATATCATAACTAAATTGTTTTTTTATTTATACTGTTTTTATTTAAAAAATTTTAATTTTTAAAAATAATGGATAGTAGCCTTCAATAGAAAAAGAGATTCTCCTTTGCTCTGGGTTTGAAGTGTGGTCCAAGTGGGTAAAGCATTGAATTGGGTTCTAGTTCTGGCTCTGCCATTAATCAGCTGTGTCACCTTGAACAAGGCATTTGATATTCTTAAATTTTTTCTTTATTTGTAAAAAAAAAATGGGGGCTGCGCTATATCTATGAATCTAAACATTTTTATGCACTGACATGCTCAGGGCCAATCCCATGTCCCCTCTGTGTGTGTGTGTGTGTGCGCGCGTGTGTGTGTGAAGAAGAGCATTGGGAGTGATATGTGAAGACAGCTAAAGCCCCAGGGTCTAAGATATGTCCCCTTCAGGAATAGAATAGTGTATATGCACTCCTTGTTGCTGAGAATCTTATATCAGAGCACAAGATTATTTCTGAAATTCCAGCCCTCAATTGGATTGTAAGCAGTGGTGGTCCTGTGAGGAGGTGACGACTCATCTAGTTTGATTTTAGTTGTGTCCCCAAATACTCTTATCCAAGCTCCTTCTCTGCCCCCACCCTCCCAGCCCTAGCCTTCTTTCATGGAGTCAGCTTTGTTTATTTTGTCCTGACATTTTGGTCATTAAAGTCGCTGTTGGGTTAGATAGGTTTTGCAAAATATTTTCCAAGGAACACTAGCTGCTTGAGATGCTCAAGTCAAAAGGACTCTGGTCAAATAAGTTTTAGAAATGCTGCCTATTATAGCCTCTTCTCCCAAACATTTATAGTGCATTTAACAGTCTTGAAATAAGGAATCCTGTTTAATTTTCTTAACTCAAAACACCCAAATTAATATGAACACTGAACACTCTTACTTTTAATTCCTATGAACCTCATAGAGAACTTGTTCAACAGAATGTTCTTTGAGAAATGATCAATTAGATAACAGAACGAAGTATCTTTCTGTCTCCAGAAGTCCATAAATTAGACTCATGTATGCTTTGTAGGAGGGATTTTTGGGTCCTTTCCTATTTGGGTCCTTTTTCAAATAAACAGCATCAGTTTATTTGAAAAGTTTCTTGAAATCTAGGTGTCAAGGGTATGACTTTTGAGGGAGAATAAGAAGAGGGATGAGGTAGGAGGCAGGAGCACAGCAATTCCTGGGTGTTGGTGGACTAGGCAAGATAGAACCAATAACAGTAAGGGGCATGAGGGGTGTGGTGGTCTAAAAAATGGTCTCCCCAAAGATATCCCCGTCAAATCCCTGGAACCTGTGAATGTGATCTTATTTGGAAAAAGGATCTTTGCAGATGTAATTAAGTTAGGATCTTGAAATGAGATGATCCTAGATTATCCAGATGGGCTCAAAATCCAATGACAAGTGTCCTTATAAGAGACACACAGGGGAGTACAGACACACCGACGAGGAGGCGATGTGACTGCAGAGGCAGAGATTGGAGTGATGTGGCCACAAATCAAGAATGGCCAATAGTTGCCAGAAGCTCAAAGAGGCGAGGAGCAGAATATCTCCTGGAGCCTCCAGGGGGAGCCAGCCCTGTTGACGCCTTGATTTTGGACTTTTGGTCACCAGAGAGCTGTGAGAGAATAAATATCTGTTGTCTGAAGCCATGCAGTTTGTGGTGATTTGTTATGGGAGCCACAGGAAACTAATAGAAGGGGGAAGAGCCCTGAAGGGGAAACTGAAACAAAAGCCTAGCCACACTGATGTTGCCCAGAGACGCCCTGACTGGTGTTTACTAAACACCCAAGGCTCAGTGGGAACACCAGCTCTGAACCTGGCAGGTTTCAGGGAAGCCCTTTATTCTGGGATGGGAGGCGTGGCCCCACCTTGGGTTGCTTCCCAGCCCTCAGCACCAGCCTTCGTAATGTGGAACATGAACTGTCTTTCCTTCCTCCCACAGGCCACAGAGGCAGAGTGCTGCACTTGGCTTTGAGTCCGGACCAGACCCGAGTGCTTTCTGCAGCTGCTGATGGCATAGCCTGTGTATGGAATTGCAGCTCTCCGCTCAGCCCCTCTAGGCTTCAGTTTCCTCATTTCTAAGTGAGAATGATGATATTGGCCTTGTCTTCTGCATGGCATCGTTACAAGGATCAAACAAGATCGAGACCTTTTCCTAAAGCGAATGCCGGTTCTCCTGACCTTCTTTCTCAGGTTACTATATTTGTTCTGCTTCCTCCCATTGCATTTCCCAGGCATTGTCTTTGACTCTTCATTCTTCTCTCTCTACTTTTTCCCTCCTCCTGCTATTCATTTTTGTTCTTCTCTATCTCTTCCTTGTTAGAGATGCATTTTCACTACTCAGAATAAAATCTATAGCAAAGATTTTTAAATACTTCTTTTCCACTTGAGTTTTCTCCCAAGCTCCAGCCTCATACTTTTGTCTGCTTCTGGATATGTCCTTTGTGAGATCCTTTCCTGTCTTTAGCTCACAATTAATACATTAAAAACACAATGTATTCACTTGACATATATTGGTAAAAATCCTATTATATGCTAAATGGTATGTTAAGCATGCATATTATTTCCTCAAAAGGAGCTCCTCTGTAGGACTCCCTACCCTTCTTCATGGTCTTATCCTTATCCTGGTCATCCAATCACTCAGGGAGTTTTCTGATTATTGTGCTCCATGCTCACTCAGTTTACCCCTTGTTCTCTTTTTTTCTGTTTCACCCTAGTCACGTCCTGAATACCTGATGATCAGTTTGCTGTAATTGCCTTCTAACTAATTTTCCTGTCTTTATTCTTCATGGGTCCCCACACCACTGTTAGGTTAAATTTCTGAAAGCATTGTGCTAATCCTTTCAGTTAGTTCCCTGCTCACAAACTCTCAGTGACTCCCTAATACCTAAACCTTGGAGTCCTGAGCCCAGAAGCTGAAGTTAGGGGACCTGTTCTTGCCTTGGCTCTGCCATAAATGACCGTGGGTATGTCACAACATTTGCAAAATTAGGAATTTGGACTTAATAACTGCTAAGCTTTCTTCCAGCTTGATCAGTCCATTGTTCTATCTTTTTAATGTTAATCTTCACTCATCTTCTACGTTAACCCTGGGCTAAGTTTTTGATTTCCTACCCTTGGTGCCTTTGTTGGAGCTTTTCTTCTAGTCTGGAATTTCTGCTCCTGTCTTTGGTTCTTTGCACATGTGCATACATTTTAACCTCTTTAGGAAGTGTTTTGAAATGATGTTACCTGGGTTTGAATTCTTGGCATTAGTCTATATCACCTATTTGGTATTAGTATACTATTCTAGTTGTTTAAAAATTTTTTTTATTACTATGTGTATCTTTGTTTATTTTAGTTTTAACATGCTTATTTCTTTCCTGGATGATTAAATTGAGGAATACAGGGAGCACATACCAGGTCTGACAATTAAGTTCGTGAACTTGTTGCAATGATATTACTAACCTTCTTTGATATCAGAGGGATTATTCATTATGAATTTGTACCAACTGGACAAACAGTTAACTAAGTTTACTATTTGGAAGTGCTGAAAAGGCTGTGTGAAAAAGTTATATGACCAGAATTTTTCACCGGCAATTCATGGCTCTTGCATCACGATAATGCAAGACACATTGCACACGGCACTGCGTGTGAGGGAGTTTTTAACCAGTAAACAAATAACTATTGGAACACCCTCCCTATTCACCTGATCTAGCCCTGAATGAATCTTTTCTTTACCTGGAGATAAAGGAAATATTGAAAGGAAGACATTTTGATGACATTCAGAACATCAAGGGTAATACGATGACAGTTCTGATGGCCATCCCAGAAAAAGAGTTCCAAAATTGCTTTGAAGGGTGGACTAGGTGCTTGTGTTGGTGAATAGCTTCCCAAGGGGAGTACTTAGAAGGTGACCATAGTGATATTTAGCAATGAAGTATGTAGGATGAGTTTGAGAACTTAATTGTCAGAACTTGTGTATGGTGTGTATGCGCGCGCGCGCGCACACACACACACACACACACACACACACACACACACAATTTATATTCCTAAAGGAACTGATGGAACTCAAAGAACTCTGTTCACATAATCACATCTTGAAGCAGCTACTGGGCTAATGACTATCTACTGTATTCAATACACTGGATAAACTTCATGGGACTTTTTCCAAAGGAAACTTTCTGGCCACAATCCAACACTCATTCTCTACTGTGGGATGGAAACCACTGTAACCACCATGTTGATTGGACATACCCAGGCTCAAGGACAAGGAGAACCAAGAAATCACCTAGATAATCCAAGGCTTAAATGCAAACCACTGAGAAAGGAGGCTGACTTTCTATTGTATACTCTTCTTGGCTGATAAAGTGCTTCATTTGTATCCCCTAGCATTTTAATTTCTATTTCTTACCTGCCTTTGGAAAACACTGGAAGGCCTTTCCTATTTCTATTTCTCCCATAGACTCAGGTTTTTTGTATAAATCTGAATAGCAGGTGTTGATGTAGAGCCATGGCTTTTGAAGGACAAGCTCATTTCCTTTTAACCCAAATGCTCCAGACTGGCTGTTTCTGTTTCCTGCAGAATTGCTGAGCTTTTTACTGTACTTGTTACTAGACAGACTTTAGCGTTACTCCTGCTGGGTCCTACTGGGACAGTGAAGTGAATAATTGAAGCAAAATTTGCATGTCACTTCACACATGGATGACATTGGTGAAACTGGTCCCCTAATCTCTCCCTTGCATTATCCATGAGGTCACGATATTACTCTGCCTCACTTTCCTGGTGGAGATTTGCCCACTGAAGTTATAGGAGAGAAATGGGTACAGTCATGCAAATTGATTTTATTTATGACAGGATTAAAAAGTGACAGCAAATCAAATGAAACACAAGGATCTAAACTACCCCTTTTATGGTATTAATTATCCATTTGAGGTATTTCTTTGTGAGAAGCATATAGACACCAGGTCCTCGAGGGTCTCCGCACTTTCCTGGAAGGCCAAAGGAAGTGATGCCTCTGAAAGTACCCTTACAGATCAGAGGGCTTCCAGAATCTCCCTGGGAGAAAACAAGAGGGGTGGTGAGGATGAGCATCAAACATGACCATAGCTGAGTGGAAGAAATTCCATTTAATGTGGAGTTAAGACCAATCTTCACTAAATTGAAATTAGTGCTTAAAAAACCAAAATGTTGAGAATATTTTAATATTTTTGAACTGGTTTAGTCAATTTATTTATGATCCAGTGAAAATTGAAATGAAACTGGCATTATTGTTTATGTTGATCCCACTAATTTTGAGACTGATTCTCTGCTTTAGAAAGGAAACCCTCCTATTTGTCATTTTCTCAAAATGCTTAATAACTAAAGGGGCAAAATAGTCAAATGTAGATGGGACTTTGAGGCAAAGAATAAAAACTATGTTTTCTAGTTCCTCCAGCACATAATTATCTTCCCCAAGAAACAAAACCAAAACAACCTTTCCTTTCACCCTCTCAAATAGACAAAAACTTCTCCCCCAAGTCTCCTTTGAGCATTTGATGCTAGATGGAAGCTTCCAGAAATCAGTTATTACACTCCAGAGCTAACTGACTCCAAAGTAGAGAGGCTTCAGTTAGCTGTATGTAAGTCTGTTTTATTCTTCCTGACAGTGCCACCTGTTGTATGACCTTGTATTCTCTCATGGAATCCCAGAATCAGCATATTTTTAACATATTCAAGGTCTAGAGTCTGGATTGGCCAGTTCACTGCTATGGCTTTATGGAAGACTGGTGGTTCTAAATGGAGGGCCATTCAGGCTTGTACATAGTGCTCTGCAAATGCAAGGCTCTGAGGGCCCAACTCCATTCCAGCAATGTGAAGGCATGGATGGACTTGCCCTTTCCAGGCAAAAATTGGCCTTATGAGTGTATGAAGTAAGGAACCATGTGACAAGCTGGGGTCCTCCCTGGACAGGTATATTTCTCCTGCCTAACATAGTGCCTACAATTTTCAGAATGAGTCCTTTAGGTCTAATTCATCAACAGTCATTGAGAGAACTGGAAAAGAATTGCTAAGCTTTGATGGTAGAGGGTGGCTGGTGGGAGGGGAACAGGCATCTTGGGATGCTGTCATGGCCTCAGGATGTTGCATCCTGAGGGTTCCAAAAGCATGCAGGTTCTGGGTTTCTGGATGCCCAGTATGGTGGATGAAAAGAGGGGGCAGGGTGAGGAGGGCAAAGGAGAGAAAAGTGGAAGGGTGCTGAAGATGAATGCTGTCTTTTCTGAGATTGGCCTAGCCTTGGTCCTGAGGGCAAGCCATTCAGGTTCTGCTGATGTTTAGATAAGCACCTGGGAAGGAAAGAGACCCCCGAATCTCTCAGTGTCTGATAACTCCCAAACCAAGCACACTGCATACTCTTTTTCAGAGGACGCTCTATAGGGTCTTTAGAAAAGGTGAGAAATGACAAGCCAGTATTCAAAGCTTAAAAATCTGTAAAGTGTTTCTTTTCCTTATATCCTTAGACAGAGCTCGGTCCCATCCCTTCTCTGGGACTCTGGTCTGGAAGGTTATATATTCTCTGGAATGGGTCCTACTTCGATGTTGTTTCCTGGGGATGGAGCTTGGCTCTAGGAAGCTATGGAGTCTACCTGAGATCCTCAGTCAGGCTTGGGAATGACAGGCATTTCAGATTTGCCTCGTTAAATGAAAGAGGAATTTTTGGGAAGTGCTGAGATGGGAAAAAGTGTATGGAAGGCCCTGGAGAAACCCTGACTTCAGCTCTCCTGATTGTTACATAGTTTTAAATTTAAATCTACATATGTTAATATGGAGAATGAGAAAATAAAACATTGCTTCTCAGTGTTTTTTGATGTGAAATCAAGAAGATGTAATTGGTTAACCCATGCACTAGCAGTAAAGTTATTTTTGGCAAACAACTCACATTGAGTTGAGAATATTAATTTATTTGACTGGGGTTTTATCAAACTTTTTTAAAAAAAGCATTAGGACTCTGTAGAAGCCAATGCCATGAGAAGACTAAGCATGACATTGTGTTTTTCCTGTCTGAATGACTTAATCCAGCAGCTAAAATGTGGGATCTTATTTTACTTACATCGCAAGAGTCTTTTCCACCTTTGAGGTTTCCAGCACAAATCATATTCAGTCCAATCATGGGATTATAATTATAGTGCTTTTCATCATTGCAGGTTCTTCTGTCTATGACAGTGACATTGACTTCTCTCAGAGTATCGGACCCAGGTGGTTTATTGTGAACCAAACCCCATCCTGCAACGTGACACACCGTTCCTGATTCTACATCATTCCCCATTTTAGGGAGAGGCAGGATAGCCACATTTTTATTAATTTTGGCTCTTTTAGACAGCTGTTGGAAGACAAGCATAAAGAGTTGGTGAGATCATTAAAATATTTATATTTCACTTAAATTCTAGCCCAACCCTTGGGGAATCTTTATGTAGCTACACTGTAGCTATAAGGGCACCAAAGAAAGGTTGCTATGTAGTGACCAGGTTATAGGGGGTTCTATGACTTTTAAGTCAATCAAAGATACAATCAAAGGTACATACCTGTACAAGTTTAAGATCACCCTCATTGGAGACACTGTCATAACATGGATAGGGAAATTGTTTCTTAATGGACAGTATCTGTTTTTCTGGCTCACGCTTGGTTATTGAGTGAGCTCCAAGAATGACCTGGGTCTTTCTGTCCCTGAAAACAGACACAACACTGTTAACGGGGTTTATGCTTTTAATCAGGAGCTGAGCATATTATGTGCTAATCAGTTTCATTGTCTCATTTATAAACATGCTTGCTGTGGAAATACTTGTTTGTGTCTCAGAAAAAAATGTGTACTTTAAAGAATAAAAAGTAAGATGTTTATGAATTTATCATCATCATCATCATCATTACTACCATCACCAACTTATTTATAACAAGCTAAGCTAGTTGCTAAAAACTAATAGTAAGAATTTCATGGCAGCTAAGCCAAGTCTTGAGATTTCTGTTGGGGTTTTAGTGCTGCACCCCATACCCCAACCCTCCTTTAGCTGTGATAGAGAATCCGGCTGAAGATTACTGGAAAACAAAGGTCTCTGTAGTTTAGAGGCAGAAGCCAAAGCCACTTGATGCTTTAGAGTAACTCACTGAAGCGATCCCTAGAAGATAGCAACAAATTTATCTTACATGGAAAACCTTTCAGAAATAGATGTCCAGCGGAGGACCCTATTTGCATGACGTTTAGTGTGTGTATATTGGGGGGATGGTGGTCTGAAAAAGGAGCCCAAAATTATTCTCTTACTCTGTGCTAAAGGATCATTTTAATTAATAAAATCTAAATGCTCTCTGATATATTAATGATCAAGGCTATTATCATTCACAAGCTAGTATAAAGTATACACTAACTAGATATTTACGCTGCCATTTTCCTATCACACCAGCTGATATTAGTCTCACTTAAGACATTAAAACAGTGCTTTCAGTAGAGCATAGTTTGATGATGAAGTAAGTGTTCTATAAATCTGCACTGTCCAATAGGACACATGTCACATGTGGCTACTGAGGATGTGAAATGTGGCTAGTGTGACTGAGGAAATCAATTTGTAATTTTATTTAAATTTAAATTGATATAGCCACATGTAAGTGACATAGCCAATAGGATAGTGGCAAGCATACTGGACAGCCCAGGTTTAGAGGCTTGATTTAAGGAATGGAGAAAAGACCAAGCTTGGAAGAGGTTTGAAGGTGGTGGTCAACAGGGGGTAAGAAATGCCTGAAGGTTTGAGAGAAGCTTTCCAAGGGAAAAAGGAAGGCATTTGAAACAAGCTTTCTCTACTGCACAGTTGTGCTCAGGCCCCTGAGGGGACTGAGGACTTGGCTAACTCTAACAGTCATGAAGTCAAGACCAGAAGCAAAGCCTTTCAGCATGTGGACCAGGAGGCTCTAGAGGGGACCTACAGAAAGAGCATGTGGATGCTGCACATCATTGGTCTGATTTTCTGGGGCTGAATCTGGGTTTAACCCCTGGTTGGGGTAAAGCAAGTTTCCAGAGACATAAGTAAGGTGAGCCTCCTGGGGCTTTTGTGAGATTTACTTTTTTTTTTCTATTAATATTCACCCAAATAGAATTATCTCCACAGTTGTTTTTTTTTTAAACTCAAGCACTTACAGGTCACAGTGAGCTGCAGTCAATACCCAGTTTTCTGCGATCAAAGCTCCACCACAGATACTTTTTCCTTTAAGCAGCACCATGTAGGGTCTCGAATGAGGATTCACTTCATGTCCTCCAATAATATTTACACAGAAATCTGTTTAAAAGGAAAAGACAAATCATACCAGTGTCCACACTAGAGGGCTCTACCTACCTACCTAAAGCCGTGTTTCTAAGACCAGACATGCTTGTTCTGCTTGGAGAAGAAGTACACATGAGAGCATTCCCCGCCCCCCGCCACTCCCCCCACCGTAGATGTTCAGATATCTGAATGTAAATCCCATTCCTATTGAACTCTGACAGAGTCCTACCCTTTCAGAAGCTGTGCCATTGGCAGTTCCAGGGATCATCAGGCTGCAAATCTGTTACAACCACTGACTTCAGGCCTCAGGGCTTGCAAAGGGCAGACAGCTGTGCATAGGTCTACACAGGTTACAGCTGCTATAGGAGATGCTAGTGATGATAACATTGAGTGCCCTCCCAACCCTCCCCTTCTCAGGCTGAGTATAATCTGGGGAAGTAGGGAGGCTTTTATAATAGAAGCCTGAGAACTGCCCTTATCACCCCAAATCCTTGAAAAAACACAGAGTTTACACATTGATATTAGCACATTTTAGGTATGACCTTGCCCATGAGTTCTTTAGTCATTGTGAGGCTTCTGTTTATTGAAATTTGCATTTTCCTCATTCACAAGTTGAGACAATAATACCTATTGCACCTGAGACTCCCCTTTAATTTCCAAACTGAGCCATGTGGTTTAATCTAAGCCCTTTCCCAATGAAGCAGGGGAAGGGAGGAGGGGAGATGCCATAAGGAGAGGATTCTGCCTTAGTCAATTTACTTGATGATAGAAGTCAATTCATTATTAGAGAACAATGAGACCTACTCACAAAGCAAATCATGTATGTTGGTTAAGAAGATCTTGTGCCTTTGTGATACACTCTCAGCTCTCCACCTTCCTACACCTGATGTTCTTGGATTCTCCTGAAATATTACTACTGAGGGGACCTACAGGAAGACCTTGTGGATGCTGCTAATCATTGGTCTGATTTTCTGGGGCTGAGTCTGGGCTTAACTCCTGGTTGAGGTAAAGCAAGTTAGGCACGGACTCATGATTCCTTAAATAGGACATAGTGCCTATTACTTTATTCTTAAATATAACTCATTGGCAAATTCACAATAAGGTGTAAATAATGAGAGTAAGTAGAAGGAAAAGAGAGTGACAATAAAGGCTCTAATTTCCAGAAGGGAGTTGGGAAGGGGAAATTCCAAGCTCTAGAAACAAAAGGATAAGGGACTTAGAGAAACCAAGAGAACTTCACCCACATCTCAATTTTTCCTGGGGTGTATCATGTATAGATAGACTCCAAATGTGTATCTTTGGAGCTTCTGGACTGCAGAAATCATAAACTCAATAGCATACTCCCCTTGGCAGAGTCCTGTGTTTGGTGAGCACATATACCACCTCAGAAAAAAGTACACATCTCCCAAAAGCAACAACTCCTGGATGGGTCCAGAGGGTAGGGTTTAGAGCAGGTGAGAAAGCTTTCAAAAATGAGTAATTCTTGGTCCCCACCCAGAATCAAGATAAATTGGAAATACTGGAGCTGGGGCTGGGATGTCAGTATTATTTAAAAACCCTCCAGAATATTCTAATGTGTAGGACGGTTGAGTCCAGATCAGCACGTCTTGTTTTGCTGTGTTTCTGTTCCCTTTATGGGCCCACCTTGATCTCTCTGACCACAAGAAACAACGTGGAGCAGAGAAAGTTGGTTTTGTTTTTTCCTTTGAAGAAACAGGTATGATTGGAATTTTACCTGCTCTGTCGTCACCATTGTGGAGAATTTGCTTGAGAACATGCCTGAACATAGTCACACTAGGCCATACTGATACTATGCCCACCATTTTGTCCCAAATGTCCTGCAAACGTGTGCTTTTTAATTGCCCTCCTCCCCCTCTCAATTTTAGGTGCAAGATGAACCAGAGAACTTCCTTGGGAATTTCTAGCAAGACAGGTTGTTGCATCCATCCCTGCCCAGAATTCCTACCTCCAAAAGCTGACAGACCCTGGGGAAAACCCGTGTCTGCTCCACACTTGTCAGTCCAGTTTGGGCCAAGTCCTAGAGTAGTCCTCACTTCCTAGAAGGTTTTTAAGGGAAATCTATAGCTACCCTGGGCCAATTACCCTTCTAGTGATAATGGCATGAGTTTTATGGCATCTCAAACTGAAGTACGTGTAGCTCACACGAAACCAGGCATGTTGGTTACTGCCTAGTACACCAAAGAATTAGCTTAATACAAAATAGCACTTTCAAAGAGTTGAACTGGAAACATTCCCAAAGTCCTAATGTATCCCCAAGGACACGCTAACCTAGAGAAATGATGGTCAAAATTTGAATCATTTCTGATTTATCAATGGGAGTCTAGATCAGTTTTGTTTTAATTGTCATTAAAACCATCTACGCATTTTCTGCAGCACAAAAGGCTGAGGCACAAGTCTTCCTTTCCAGAAAGATACTATTTATCTTCCTAACTCAAGAGCTTTTGGTTTGTTTATTTTTGCATTGTCCTTTTTGGCAATTTTCAGGCTACAAATTGGCAGCGATAAGCACTGGTGGTTCTATGATCTTTTGTGAAGAAATTCTAAAGAAGAAAGAAGAATTTTTTTCCTTTCAAAATAGGGACATATTTAGAGTCCAAGAAAGAATGTTAAGCCCTGGGGGTGGGGGTGGGGGGAAATATCCTCTTAGTACACTTAGCTAATATTGCCAAAAGCTCACTGAAAGTCTGCTCCATTTTGCTTAATGGTTATAATGTAAATGACAAGAATCAGTCTTACCTTCAGGAATTAGCAGGAGAAAAATGACAATCGAGAGAAATGATGCCCGAAATGTACCGGAGTTCCTCATTGTGGTTGGTGTCCCCACATCGATCAATGTGAAAATCTGTTTTCAGTTTTTGACTGACTCTATCTATATATTGAGAGTACAAAGGATGTGGTTTTTTTTTTTAATCTTTCTTTCACGTTTCAAAGTTGGGCATAGGAAATGAAACACAAGTAAGTGAGAACAGCTCATGACCAGTGGGCATGCCTTCCTTGGCTAGGACTGCTGAGGGAGAGGGTTGTAATTCTACAGTGAGAGCTAGGGCAAGGGGACCTTGTTGCCCTCAGACCATAGTACATGAGAAGGGACTTTAAAGTGTCTCAGCAGAGATTGAGAATTCTAGTTTTCAGCATCAGCAAAATTATCTTCCATATTCATGAAAGAAAGTTCTGTTAAGACTTAATTTAGAGCTTTAAAAAAATGTTGTAAAAACTGTTCACCAACCATGCTTCTTTCTAGTTATCTGTTTGGGTTATGTAAAGATCAATATAGGTCAAGGGCAAGGAGCCACGTAGGAGGGAGCCTTACTTATTCGTGAGCTCCTGCCTGGATGATGCTTTTCCATTTTGTGGAGGATAACTTTTTGTGCTCCTGTGTGGCAGGAGTGGGGACAGAGACTACTGAGGTTCGGGGGTGTTGGCTTTTACCAGACCTCTGATTATGCTTCCCCTGATTGTTTGATTTTACAACTTTAGATACATGAAAGCATTTATGAGTTCCTACTCTCCCTCTTACCCTCCCCTTCCTCATTTTCTTCCTCTTTCCCCCTTTCTCTTCCTCCCTTCCTTTCCTTCTTTCTTCTTTCATTCTGGATTTAGCTAGAGAAGGAAAATGGGAATAAGACATGGCTATTTTGTTTCAATATTGGGAGACATCTCACTCTAAGGTGGATCAACCTCAGTCCCTGCAGGAATAGTACGCAGTATGCCTTCTGTTAGATATATCGTTTGCTCCTTTTCTGAGCTGAGGATGTGGTCTTTATTATAATACATATGGTCCTATGTTCTGTCCGGATGTTTGGTGTTAACTAACCATCCCCAGAGTTAACACCCTGATGATTTCAGACCCAGTGGTTACTTTTTCAGAAGTCACATGACCTTAGAAGGGAACCCCTGTGTTTCCTTTTCCCAGATATTACTAGCACATCAAAGGTTAATCAGTTTTAGTAATAGCAGTGGGGATACCCAGCTTCTGGTTTGGGTCAATAATTTTAGTGCTGACTTAAAAAACCCCCAAATATTAGTTACCTATAGTTTCTGAAAATTTCTTAAAGAAACCTTTGGCAAATCTGTTTCTTTTTATGTGAATGTGGCTGCTCTCCCCCCATTCATGTTGACATTTAACAGCTTTGTGAGAAATAGTTTAGATACCATAAAGTTCACCCATTTAAAGCATATAGCTCCATAGTTTTTAGCATATTTACTGAGTTTGCAACCACATCCATAACTAACTCTAGAACATGTTCATCATTCTCCAAAGAAGCCCTGTACCCATTAGCAGTCACACCGTGTTACCCTCCTTCTGCCATTCCCCTGAACTTAGACAACCACTGTCCTCTTTCTGTCCCCATAGATTTTCCTGTTCCGGACATTTCGCATAAATAGAATTGTATAATATGTGGTCTTTTTCTGACTGACTTCCTTCATTTAGCATAATGCTTTTGAGGTTCATCCATATTGTAGCAGCATGTATCAGTATTTTATTCCTTGTTATTGACAAATAATATTCCATCATATGAATATATCCTATTTTACTTATCCATTCATCAGTTGATGAACATTTGGTCTGTTTCTACTTTTTACCTATTATGAATAATGCTGTTATAACATTTATGTATAAATTTTTGTGTGGACATATGTTTTCATGGGGGGGGTATATACCTAGGAGTATGATTATTGGGTCATATGGTAACTCTATGTTTAACATTTTGAGGAACTTTTAAACTGTTTTCTGAAGTGGCTGTACCATTTTACATTCCCATGAAAAAGTATGAAGGTTCCAATGTTTCTACATCATTGCCAATACTTGTTATTATTTTTTACTAATTGCTATTCTAATGGGTGTGAAGTAGTCTCTTATTGTGGTTTTGATTTGCATTTCCTTGATGAGTAATGATGTTGAACTTCTTTTCATGTGTTTACTAGCCATTCATATATCTTCTTTGGAGAAATGTCTATTGAAATATATTGCCTATTTTTTTAATTGGGTTGTCCTTTTATTATTGAGTTGTAAGTGTTCTTTATGTATTTGGGTATGAGTCCCTTATAAGGTATATAATTTGCAAATGTGTTTT